TATTAGAGGAAACTAAGCATTACAGTATTCAAGGCCAAAGGAGAGGTCTAAGGTGCAACCTCTCCCAAACAACAATGTCCAATTTTAACCAAGTCCAAAAGAAATGACTCTATCAACCCTTTACTTGGCTAGAGTGTTTGGCGTTCCATTAGCCAATTTCCTTTCCCATTGGAATTTTAAAATCATATTGCTAGTGAGCCATTTAAAAGTCTTCATTTCCTCCCAATAAGCCCATATTACTGCTTTTGGATTGTGTTACCAGCCCATCACCAGTGTAGGGTCCCCTTTAATGATCAACTTATTACAGCAAAAGCTCAGCTGTAGCCGAGTCTGCTACACTAACCGGACCTGAAAACAATGCAGCAATTCATCCTTTCTTGTTTCTGAAGACACCCCTATACCTGCAGGCCCTCGGTTACCTTGGTTGCTCCCATCAAAATTGAGTTTGATAAAATATTCTTCAGGTGGAGTCCAAGAATAGTAATTTTATGCTTTCTTGATGAACTTTTTTGCCACTGGACCCCTATTCCTCCAAATATCACCTGTGAAAAGCTGTGAGATGTCCATTGTTTTAGCCCAATGTATATCACCCTTGTTACCATGCACTCCATCGCCACTTTCACACTTCTCTCTTTCTAGAGGAAAATTCTTGCATTCCTTTCTTCCAAATAATCCATATTTGAGCTGCCCTTGTGCATTTCCAAAGAATTTTACCACTTCTCTTGGACCATCTATTAGTGGAAGGATCAAATAGCATAGATAACTCCAGCGCGAAGTCCACCTGCACCCAAATAAAGAAAAGAACCTTTCCCAAATTCTTGCAGTAAAGGGACAGTAGATAAAGAGGTGGTAACAGCTCTCCTCATTAGCTTTACAAAGGATTTACCGGTTTGAAGACGAACAAAGAAGAGGCCTTCACTTTTGTAGATTATCTGCAGTACTAATCTTCATATACAAGACTTCCCAACAAAGGGCACTGACTTTAGGGGAGATAGGTTTGCACCAGATTGAAAAAATTGTGGGGAAGGAGAACATAAAGTAGAGAAAAAGAAGCACAAGTGATAGACCCATTAGGATGAGGAGACCAAATACATCTATCAAGATTTGATGGGTCCAACCAAACCTTTTCAAGAATTTGCAATAGATTGGTCACAGAAACTAACTCTAACTCATGCTGATAAAAAATAAATAAATAAATAAAACTAACTCTTAACTCATAATCTCTCAAACTCTTTTTGAAACCCAAATCACAAGAAATACCATTAGAAGGATAGAAAGAAGAAAAAAACACCAAAATTGATTCCTTTTTAAATGAAGAAATAGAGTACAATGAAGTGAACAGATCCCTGAGTGCACCATTCCCAACCCAAATATCTCCCCAGAAAAAAAAAAAAAAATTCTTGGAACAAGCATCGTACCATAAAATGCTGAGAAGCTGAGGAAAGAAGCCAAGGAAAGATACCATACCCTACGACCTTCAGCTGGCTGAAGAAAAGAGGTAAAAGTTAAAGTGGAGATGTGCTCAGACTGCTTTGATTTGGACAGTATGGGAGGGATGTGGAGGTAGTGTGGAATGTGCTTAAGTAGGGCTATACATTGGACCAAACCATTAGACCTTTTCTCAGATTTCTCTTTTGATTATATATGGCGAAATTGGGAAGCTGTAGTAAGAAGTTCTGTTAGGAAGGATAAACCAATTGCAGTCTGGACCCCCCCCGGAAGGTTTTTTTAAACTAAACTTAGATGGCTGTTGGTAGTCAAGGGTGACTCAAAGCTGAAAGAACCAGAAACAGTGGTTTAGAAATATAGGGATTTTATGAAAGGATTTAAATGGATAATCAGTGATGACAATTATTGTTCAATGGGAAAGGAGGTCTGCAATTGGGTTGGTATTTTTTTTTTTTTTGCAAAACAGGGGGTGCATAAAGTCTGATTTATTTGTGGCTCAAATGTAATTCTGTTTGAAATACCATGAATGCTCTCCACCATCTTGTACCACAATTTCTCCCTCTCAGGAGGCCACCTCCACAACCATTTACCTAGAAGAGCTAAGTTCTTCTTTCCCACATTACCTGACCCTAAGCCTCCATACCTTCCTCTTTCACACTATTTCTCATTTTAACTAGATAGTCCTTGTTCCTTTCCCTCGGCTCCCACAAGAAATCCCCCATGACCTTTTCCTAATTTCAAAACCTTCTTCTGAGGCATCTTAAACATAGAAAGGTAGTAGATTGACAAATTTTCAGGAGTGGATTTTATTAAGATTATTCTACCCCCTAAAGAAATCCCCCATGACCTTTTCCTAATTTCAAAACCTTCTTCTGAGGCATTTTAAACATAAAGGTAGTAGAATGACAAATTTGCAGGAGTGGATTTTATTAAGGTTATTCTACCCCCTAAAGAAATATTGCTTCTCTTCCATACTGCCAACCTTTTTGCACACCTTTCTAGAATTGAGCTCCAGAATATACTCTCCTTGTATTATCTACTAGGGGCATATCAATGAAGTCAATGGCCAAGAGGAAATAGAACAACCTAGTGAGCTTGCAATAGTGCTTAGGACATTATCTTCTATTTCACCCTTTTTTTTATAAGTAAAAAGATAAGTTTCGTTAATAGAGAATTAATGCAGTTACAAGCTTCCCATGGAGAGGCACGAGCTGCGTCCTCTCCTAACAGCAGGAAGAAAGACAAAAGGAAAACAGATTCAGTCTACAACTGAGCCCAATATAAACTTTCCCTGTTTACCCCTTGCTTTGCAAGACCATCAGCCATAGAGTTTGCTGATCTCCCCACCCATTTTATTCTCACTGTCAAACTCCTTGTCAGGCAGTTGAATTTTTTAATTTCATTCTTAAAATACCACACTATAGAGTCCGGGTTTTGTAGCCATCCCACTACCACCTTGGAGTCCCCTTCTATTATCAATTGTTCCACACCTATCTGCACAGCTAGCTGTACTCCCTGGATAGCGGCTGCAAGTTTCGCCTTAGTAGAGTTTCCAACTCTATTTCACTCCTATGGATGAAATAGAGTTTCCAACTTCTATTTCACTCCTATGGGTGAAGTAGAGTTTCCAACTTCTATTTCACCCTTTCCATGCAACTTTTATCCAAATTTATCTTCAGATCCGAAATTTTCTCAAACAATTTCCCATGCTCAAAAAGCATGGGAAATAGGGATCAAAAAGTTGGTGATTGAAGGAGACTTGAAGGTGATCTTAAGTTGGATGGAACAAAACGACAAGGTTCCTTGGTATTTCAGAAATGATATAAAAAAAATCAAAATGTTTTCAAAAGACATGATGGTGATTCAACAGTGTGTTCCTAGATCAGCTAACAACTTAGCTGATCATTTAGCTAAGCAAGGGGTTAATAAAAGGGTTTGCTTTTGGTCTCAATTGTAATTATAAGGATTGTTCTCATTGTCATCTTAAGATATTTCTAGGCTAGCCCAGGCTACTCAATCTTGTAACTTTTTCATATGTTTTAATAAAAGCTGTTCTTCTGATGCTGATAAAAAGAAAGATTCATCGCCTTTTGTAAGTCCTCACCTTCAGAAAAAMTAATTTAATCATCCACAAATAGAAGGTGGGTAACTATAGTGTTATTACTACCACTCTAGAGATCAGTCTGCTAAAGGCTTCTCTGCTATCAAAGTTGAAAGGAAAGGGGACAATGGGTCACCTTGTTGAAGTCCCTTTGTGAGTTGGTAAGAAATCCTTAATTACCACATTAACCAAAATTGAATAGTGACAAGTTTTCGAGCAACCGTCCAACCATTTATAACTTACTCCAAATCCACACCATTTCATTACCTTGAGGAAAGACCAATCCACCAAATCATAGGCCTTCTCAAAGTGAAGCTTACACACAGATCCTTTATTCCTTGATCTTTTTATCTCCTCCACACATTAGCTATCAAATTTTGACCAGTGGTCTGTCTCTCATGAACAAAGGCCCCTTGAAAATTTTGGCTTATTAAAGAGGAACTTGTGAGCCTGAAATATCTTGGCTGAATAACTTCTRGCTTTTTCGGAATTAGAGCTAGGAATTTAACATTAATAGCTAGGGTGACAAATGTTTCTCTGTAAACTTGCTTTTCCTAGTGTCTCAAAAGCAAACTTGCTTTTCCTAGTGTTTCAAGACTTGTGTCTTAGAAAAAAACCTTTTCTTTGTTATGTTTCAAGGCTAGTGTCTCAGAAATGACCATTTTCTTCCTAATGTTTCAAGGCTACTGGCTTAGAAATATAAATCGCTAAAAATGAGAAAGAGAGGGGGTGAAGCCCCTATTTTTTTTTAAATGCAAAAAAAGCCTTGAAAATGATGACCATTTATTTCAAAAAACAGAAAGAAAAAATCAAATGGAGAACAGGAGGAGTGGAGCCCCTGTTTTTATTCCAAAAAAAAGAAAGGAAAAGAATTAGAAATTTAAGGAGAGAGGTTATTGCTTATCCCAGAAAAAGAAGGCACTGATCTGATTATACTCATCTTCGACTGGTGTTACTTGTTTACAAGGTGAAGTCATAATTTCATAATTTCAATTGCTCAGTCTTCATTTTTCAAGTCCTCGAAATCTTCAGTCTTTGACTTCAGTTCTTTATTGCTTTTTTGGTAAAGAAACTAACAAATGCAAGTTGATTTATGAAGTAATAAAAGAATGTTATGGTGTATCATTGCCTATGTTAATATTATGAGCTCAAAATATAAAAATATTGTAAGATATTGTAAAGATCTGATATAGAAATTGCTTGGCGTTTTCTGTTATTTTTGGATGAACTAGCCTTGGTTTTGTATAGGTAATTTGTTATAATTGTCAGTTATAGCTATGAGATTTAGAGTTAAAACTTCAAACAGTTAAGCCTTGCCAGGATTTAAACCTACATGGTAACAAGAGGATGTTTTACCCAATTGAGCTAATACGCTTCCTATTTTATTTTATTTTTTATCTTGTTGGATTTTTTTCATTTTTCTTACAAATTTTAATTTGTATTTTCTTATACAAAAATTTGAAAAATCCCCTCCAAAAGTGGACCTTAACTTTGTTCTTGCCTTGAGCCTTGTGTTTTAAGAACCTCAGGTGCTTTAGTTGCATTTCTTTTAAAACACTAGTCTCAAATGAGTCTATGTGTTCCTTTCCCCATCCTTTGTTAGTGAAAACATTCTGCCCGAGGGTCCTTGCTACCTGTTCAGAATAAACCTTCTTTTATGAGATGCTTTTAAACCCAAAAAATAAAAATAAATAAGTCTGTATGGCTGTTTAAAATAAGGAAGAACTCCAATATAAAGTTTGTTATAGGGTTAATATGGAGTGCAAGGCTATTATGCTCATGGCCAATCTAGTGAGTCCGCTATCTGAGGTCTGGATCCCGTACATGTTTTCCTCCACATGATAGAAATATGTTTTGTCAAGGGATCCCTATTCCACTCCTTAATTCTACTTTTCATCCTTTGCAACTTCTTATGAAATCTCTTTCCCTTCCACCTAATTCCATGCAACTCTTCCTTCTAGCACTCTTCCACCTTTAGAATAAAATTTGGATGGATCAGCAGCATATTTTCAAATCTTGTTTTTTTTTTATATATCCACATATTTTCAAATCTAAAATGGGTAGGGCATCCAGAGTCTAGACAAGTTTTTAGGACCAAGCCTAATGGGTCAGTGGTGTGAAGTTACTTGAGGTGAGGCTCTAGAGGTCAACCCAAACCAATGATCCTCCCAAGCAAGGTTAAAACAGAAACCTATCCAGTTTAGAACAAAAATGGTTTGCTTGGAGGTTAAACTTGGTAAACCTAGCTTGTTGTAGGGGAAGCTCCTTCAACTCACGGAGCTCTATGAACTCATAGAATTTTTTTCATGCTAGTCGATACTTGCTAATTGGAATTGCTTGATTCCTTCATGTATCAGACCTCATTGGATTCCCTACCTAAACACCATGGCCCGTCCCATGAACCCCTAATTGCAAAGATTTCTTTCCCACACTTTATTCCTTTTCCTGTAACTGTTAGGTCCAAAAACATTGGTCAAAACCCAAATAAAGCCATCTTCCACATTCTTAAATTTTATCGAAACAGATAACCTTCTAACCAATTCCTTCAATGATTCTACACTCCTAGTTTCCAACTAATTTCCACTGATCTCCACACATAACCTTTTTCTGATAAACAATAGAGGCATTTCATTAAAATAATAGAGACAAAGCATTACAAGAAAAAGAAAAGGGAGAGCTTAGTCACCTAGTTGTCAGGGAAGCACTTAGTTGCCTAGTTGCCTAGACGCCCGGCTAGGTGTTGCTTAGTGTCTCCAAAATAAACTTGCTTTTCCTAGTGTTTCAAGACTTGTGTCTCAGAAATAAACCTTTTCTTTGTTATGTTTCAAGGCGTGTCTTAAAAATAACCATTGCCCAGGAAAAAGAAGGGGCTAAGCTCTTCTTTTGTCATAGAAAAAGAAGAAAAAAATCAACAAATAAGCAGAAGGAAGGGCAAAGCCCCTGTTTTTATTGTATCAGAAAAGAGAAAGATAAATCGCTAGATAATGAGAAAGAGGGGGGGGGGGGTGGTGAAGCCCCTATTCTTGTTTTAAAAAATGAAAAAAAAAAGCCTTGAAAATGATGATTGTTTATTTCAAAAAACAGAAAGAAAAAAAAAATCAAATGGAGAACAGGAGGAGGAGCAGAGCCCCTGTTTTTGTTCCAAAAAAGCAAGGAAAAGAATCAGAAAGTTGAGGAGACAGGGTTATTTCTTTTCCCAGAAAAAGAAGGCACTGATCTGATCATATTTGTGTTCAACTGGTGTTACTTGTTTACAAGGTGAAGTCATAATTTCAGTTGCTCAATCTTCACTTTTCAAGTCTTTGAAATCTTCAAAGTCTTTGACTTCAGTTCTTTATTGCTTTTTTGGTAAAGAAACTAATAAATGCAAATTGATTTATGAAGTAATAAAAGAATGTTATGGTGTATCATTGCCTATGTTAATATTATGAGCTAAAAATATAAAAATATAAAAATATTGTAAAGTCTGATATAGAAATTGCTTGGCGTTTAGGCAAGGCAAGCAATAAAAAGCACTTAATCACCTTGACAACTATGCATCAGATGAATCCCTGCATGCCTCTTTGGGTTTTCTGTTCTTTTTGGATGAACTAGCCTTGGTTTTGTATAGGTACTTTGTTATATTGTAGGTTAAGCGTAGCCAGGATTTAAACCTTCATGCTTACAACCTTATTGGTTACAAGAGGATGTTTTACCCAATTGAGATAATAGGCTTCTATTTTATTTTTTTGGATTTTTCATTTTTCTTTCGAATTTATATTTGCATCTTCTCATATAAAAATTTTAAAAATTTCCCCTCCAAAAGTGGAGTTTAACTTTGTTCTTGCCTTGAGCCTTGTGTTTTAAGAACCCCAGGTGCATTAGTTGTATTTCTTTTAAAACAGTAGGCTCAAATGAGTCTGTATTCCTTTCCCCATCCTTTGTTAGTGAAAACATTCTACCTGAGGGTCCTTGCTACCTGTTCAGAATAAACCTTCTTTAATGAGAAGCTTTTAACTCAAAAAATAAAAATAAATAGAAGTCTGTATGGCTATTAAAATAGGGAAGAACTCCAATATAAAGTTTTTTATAGGGTTAATATGGAGTACAAGGCTATTATGCTCATGGCCAATCTAGTGAGTCTGCTATCTGAGGTCAGGATCCCCTACATGTTTTCCTACACATGATAGAGACATGTTTTGTCAAGGGAACTTATCTGGTTGAGCTTCTTTAGTTGATCTAATCAGGAGTTTTTGTTCCTGTGTTGCAATACTTTAATTTTCTTATGATTTGTTGGCCTTTTTAAAATGATTTGAGTTTGATTTTATGAGTCAACAGTTTGGCCCTGAGGTTGCCAGTTGCCAGCTGCCCTTGGTGGATTGACAAATGGGGGATGTTCCAAAAATTGTCATCTTCTAACAAAAATTCAATGTGCTAAATTCGTTGACGATCAATTAGACCTAATTATGCCTTCTCCGTGCTTTTTTTTGCAGGTGTACTATGTTTATGGATTTATGTTGCTGGTATTCCTAATTCTCATTGTTGTTACCGTTTGTGTCACAATTGTGGGAACATATTTCTTGCTAAATGCTGAGAACTATCATTGGCAATGGACTTCATTCTTCTCTGCTGCATCAACAGCTATTTATGTTTATCTCTATTCCATATACTATTACTATGTCAAGACAAAAATGTCAGGCTTCTTCCAGACCAGCTTCTATTTTGGATACACACTGATGTTTTGCCTTGGGTTAGGAATCCTCTGTGGTAAGTTTTTACTTGTGCTTTTATATTTTCAGATTCTTTTTTAATCCCTTAATGGGGCATCCCTTGATATGCTGGATTAATATATCTGTTTCTAATATTACCGTTTTTATTTGATGCTTATTAACCTGGGATCTTTATTGTGTCTCTCTTTTACGTACAGTTATTTATCTATCATGTTCCCTACTTTTGATTTAACGTTGGTGATTGTCTCTTTTGGAATGCTCAGGAGCTGTAGGTTATCTTGGCTCTACATTGTTTGTGAGGAGGATTTACAGAAACATAAAATGTGACTAGTGAAGGTCCAAAAGATGGTACCTGGTACTGCTTGCTGGGGTCTCATCATCGAGACTCAAGTATCATAAAGGAAGCATGGTCATCCAATGGGCTCTTAGGAATGTTTAGAAATGGAAATCATGGGGTTACAAGAGCGTTTTGTYTTTTTTGGTCTTTGGATTGGGGGAGGCTTTGCATTTTTTTTCCTGGATGTAAGTGAAAGCCTTCTTTACTTAAATTAGAAGTGCAGAGATTGTGTTAATCTAGAAAGTTAACATGTTGGACTCAGTTGCCATTTTTTTTTATGCTTATTCTCCATTGATAGAGATACTTCTATGTAACAATTTCTACACATTTTTTTTCTTCTATATTGCACATTTCGACCAAGATGAAAAATCTTTGGTGCATATAATGGCTGTGTACATGGAATATCTGGTGTCCATTTACTAGTGCATTTCCATTTGTTTGAGAGATATGACTAGCCTTTTTTATGATGCTGACCTCATAATCAAGGCCAACACGTCTGGAAATATCGAATTCAAGAAGTAATACCGAACATTTGTCATCAACTGAAATCGTTCAGTGCAGGACAGAAGTATTGGCGTCAAACATATTCAAGTAGTAATATCAGTATTGTTTCCAGACGAAACTTTGTATCTTTGGAGTGGCCATTTGCTAGTAAAATTGTACATTGATTAGTATGGTTTACCTATCTGGGTATCTCCATTCTGCGTGAGAGGTACCGTGAGCACTTAACTTTCTTTGAGTGCTGCTTCTGTTACATTTAAAGCATACTATCAAGTGGATCTGACCGGCTATGCATTTTAAGAGGGCTAGAGGAACACAATGTATACATGTAATCAAACTTAATGGCGAGTCATACTACACAATCATGCCAAAAGATGCATACGAACGTCAGGACATCATCTACTTGTGAAAAGGACAAGGAGAAAAGAAACCCACCTCGGCAACATTGGCACCATTCCAGTTTTGACGACTTTCCCCAAGTGCTATTGACAAGGAATCCTCCCCCCTCTAGATAACTCCTTGCTATCTCACCTGAATTACTCATTTGCCTTGTGAAAGATAGCAATCTTTTTTTTTCCGACCAACATTTTGTTTACTTTCCGTCAGCATTTTTTTTCCTTACCATAGTTATTAATACTTGATTGTAATTCATTTTCATTTCCATAGTCAAAACCATGGTAGTAGTTCCTCTCTTTATCAATGTTTTCATCATCTTTTTTACTAACGGCAAACTTAACTGCCACTGCACTTTGAATTTTTTCACCAACTTGTAACTTATCATGAAGTATCAAAATTGCTCATATAACAGCATACTGCATGAGTGCATTCTACAACATTGCTCTCTTTATCAATGTTTTCATCATCTTTTTCACTAACGGCAAACTTAACCGCCATTGCACTTTGAATTTTTTCACAAACTAGTAACTTAACTCTCTCAGGTGATAGTTGCACCACCTTTCGCCGCACCTATCTTTCTYTGGGTCCCTTGCTGGTGGTGGTGGCAAATTGATTACCTTATCTTCAACTAGCTTGTCCATTATCATTATCACCTCCTCTTTTGTGCAGGAAAAAGGAGGGATCGGTAGGTCATTCCTTTTTCCCTGGGCATTGTTCCGGTAATAGGGCCCCTGCCTGGGGCCTTGGTTGTTGTCGAGCCTCCGGTCGACTGCGTAGACCTCATTTCTCCTGTATTGTCTTAGTGTCTTTGTAGATTGGGCCGATGTTCTCTCCGTGCACCTCCATAACTGACTTGACGTTTCTACCTCTAAGTTCTCGATGCCTATTCTATAGGCAGGCTGCATCCCTTGCACGCATTGCTTGACGAAGCCCTTCTCCATGGCATGCTCGTCGAAGACAGAGTGGGTCAACTTCTGGAACCTCATGACATATGCCTAAAGGTCTTCCCCTATACATTGCTCTGTGTTCCTCAAGTTGGCAATTGTCAACTTTCTTTCTAAAGTGAACCATTTCAACAAGAACCTTTTGGCCAGTTCAGCCCACGAGTCGATACTTCCAACAGTGAGGTTAACGAACCAAGTACACGTCGGCCCAATAAGGAGCTTTGAGAATTAACGAACTTTTAGATCCACGTCGAGAGCGAAGGATCCCAAAGCGCCTTCGAACTTGCTTATATGCTCCTACGAGCTGTCCCTTTGCCCATCGTATTGCGACCATTGCTATGAAGGGGTGTAACAAGCAGGGTAAAGCTTGTACAAGATTCGATCAGAGTATGGCTTTTGTAGGATGATCGAGTTTTGTACATGGTTACGGATCTCTACTACTAGCCCTTCGACACATTCTCTCAACTCATCCCGGCTGAGTGGGGCTTCTGTTGTTGGATCTGATCAAGGACCAAACCAGAGATTCTAATGTTGGTAAGAGGTGGTTAGGCTATGTGGGGGTGGTCTCCTTGAAAGAGAGAGGAAGATTGAAACAGGGAATCAACCAGGGGGTTAGGGTAAAAGGCAATGATGAGGCTCGACAAGGAATCCAATGATTAAGTGAATCAGAGGTCGAATGAATCCCCCTGCTACGAGGAGGGTTCTTATTTATAAGGAGGGATCCCGAGATCTCAAAAAGAAGGAACAAAAAGTGATTGATTCCTATTAGGAAATGGGACGTTAGTGTTAAATAGTTTTGTATGCCCTTAGCTTCAATCAGAATGATGTACTTTATGAGTTTATTGTAAATGAATAAAAGTGCATATTTGATTCATGTTCCC